ACCGCTAAGTACTGAAAAAAAAAAAAATCATAAGAAAATGTATTGAATTAGGATTTTAAAATATTATTTTAAGATAAATTTTTGTATAAATTTAAAAAGATTATCTAGAATTATAATGACTTTAAAATTATAAGAGTGCTGGTGAATAATGACATGTCTCGTGACTCACACTCACACACCCATCAAGCTCATGAATAACTAAACTCCCTCACATAGTCACACAGAGTGAAAGTGCCATTTCGTTTGCTGTTTGGTGTGCTCGAGGAAGAAAATCATTTGTTGGATGAAATCCAGTTTCAATCACATACCTAGCAAAAACACTATTATAAACCCCATGATGTTACTAGTTAATATCCACTTAAAAGTTCAAGTGCTCAACAATGATGTGTTGCCTCAAGAAGCCGAAATAAGCAGTTTAATATGGGGGCCACTTTGTGGTTGCTTTGTTTGCATCTGAGCTAACGTTCGAATGACAAAAATCCAATGAATGATGAGTTAGGTTGAAAAGAAACTTGAGGTTGGGATTGCATGTACCCACCCTTCTACAGTTATTAGTTCTTCCTTCTAAATAAAAGAAGCCAAGAGAAGTGCAGGAAAAAAAAAGAATGTTTTTACTGCAAGTTTGCTTTTGTTGCAGTCCACCATATAAATAAATAAAAAAGGCACCAAACAGAAGACATGTCGTTTTCTATTTTGGATTGAACATGGAAGAAAGATTTATATGTCACACACACATATTTACCATGATCCGCGACGAATTCTCTTTTTTTTTTTAAAAAAGAAGAGAAAATCCAACGTCGGATCCTATTAAAAATATGTCTGTGACAGATAAAATTTTCCTGCCGCAAAAGTATAAATACTTTTGCCACAATAAAATAATGGAAAATGTTCGTAATCATTGCCCAGCTAGAATGGTTTAGTAACACTCTAATGTATTTTCATGGTTTAGTAAATACATTATAAATATAGATTATAGCTCATATTAATCAATTTTGGCCACGCTCTAAATCTACAAGCACATGGTGTTTGAGCCTTCAACTCAAACACTTAGTGTAATCAATATATTCCATCAAACTGCACTCACTAGTAGTAGTCACTACTGTCTAACCCCTGTTATCCCTTGGGTGGCCCGGCCCCTCTTCAACTACTTTGAACTGTTTTTCAAACGCTCTTAATTCCACCGGCTTCCTTCTTTCTGTTCTAATCAGAACGAATAACTTGTTAACAGGACATGGACATGTTGAATTATTTTTATTGAGACAGAATAGGATGTGCATAGAGCTAGATTATGGCTTTTTTTGTAGCTGAAAATGAATGAGAATTCAACGAAAAGACGTAGTCTGGGCCTCTAGAGGGAGGGGGAATTTAGATGTGGATTCAATTATCGAAGTGTATACGTACGAGCAATCATGTAAGTACAAGCCTGAAATTCAAATAAAGAATAGAGAAGCATCCGGATCATCTCATATTGAAAATAAAAATAAAAATGATACGGTAACTTGTATAATTATAATTATATAAAAATAGATTAATACTGATAAAGAAAGAAAGAGAAAAATATTAAAATAAATAATTATGAAATTATAATAGTTAATTTATCTTTGTATAGCTACGATTGTTCACATAACTATCGTGTAATTTATAATAGATAGTAAACATGGTAATTCAAATTGAAAATTAATAATTTAATATCAAAGCGACCAATTAAAAGTAAATATTTTGTCAATTAAAACTGAACAAAAATTACTGAGTAGTCAACATTTAATTAGAAAAATAAAAAAGGAAACAGAAAATAGAGAGTGAAGATTTCATTCCAGTCACACGAATAGTGTTCTATGGATTATGATTAGAGCCTGTGCAATAAGAATGCATTCACATAACACACCTATATATAATATACATGCTGCTGACACGCACGTGATATTAAATGATTGTTCGTGCATACAGGCTGATCCGTATTGTGTAAACATTAAAAATTAACATACATCTGCACAGAAGTGCGTTTTTATATGAGTGTGAGTGTCAATTCTGTGCGTTTTTATATGAGTGTGAGTGTCAATGGTAGGTAGAAGATTTACTGGTTTCAGTTCTTTGATGCAGTTGGAGAAAATTTTCATGTTATAAATATATTTTGTGTAGGGCCTATATCATTAACAAAATAAAAAAAATGTATTTCCGTCAATGATTTTTTTATATATACAAGAATTTCGAAATTAAATTCAAAATCACAATAATGAACTTTTTTTAATCAGACTACACATGTGGAAGGATCAAAATAAAAGTTCATAAAAATTTAAAGAAAACCAACTATAAATGATAAATTTTTTATAAAGTTAAAATAATATGTATATATGTACACGCAAGAATTGCAACCATATTGAGAAACAGAGCAACACATACATTAACCATGTTTAAGTCACAAATTACAAAATGATAGATTTATCAGCTGCTACCATATCAACGTTTGGGGGGACCGCTAATGTCTGACCAAGGGAGCCATGGCCCTACCATATTACAGAAATTGAGTCCCCATGTGAAGAAAGAGGCCAACCAGCTGGATATGTTCAGTGGGAAGCGTGGTGGGTCTCGTCTCTAATCTATTTTATTTTATTCCGTTTACTTGCTCCCTCTACCAATCGCCACCATCCAATGCCAATGCCAGTTCTAATGCTATAGACTATTTCCTACTGTTAATGTTATGTTACCACTCTATCCAATCGCCTCTCCCTAGTCTTGCTGTCTTTTCTTTTCAAAATTGCCGTCTTTTTTTTTTTTTTTTTTTCATTTCTCTTCAACAATTTTATATACTAATGATGATGAATTAAGAGTGGCCTTAACCTAGCTGAATTTATTGGCTTCCTACATAGTTCAAACAAATCACGCTATTTCTTTTCCTTCTTTTTTTTTTTTTCATGTATAAATTATTATATAGGGAAATTTTCAGATATTTGCGTCAAGGAATAAGCAAAAAGATAAACCTTAGAAAAGGGTTACGCAAAAATTTGTTGAATTACAAAAAAGATTAGTGTTTCTCTTGTTTATCTCTTGCAAGAAAAATTTTGGTGGATCGGGAGCATAGAACACGGTGTTTTCTTTTATTAAAAAAGAAATTTTTTTAGGACTTAAAAGAAAAATATTAAAAAAAGTATGGCAAAAAAAAGAAAAAAATTCATTTTTAATAAAAGGAAGCCGGTACATAAAAGTTTTTCTTCCTACGTATATAAAAGTACGTGAGATTTATGTTTTTTTTTCTATCTCTTCTCTTCGTATAGCCGCATATGATCTCTTCATATAGCCGCATATGATCTCATATACTTCTATGGGTGTAGAAAATAAATTTATTTACGTCAAAATAAAAAATATTAATTTTATTAAAAAACTAACTAATTTTCCATCCGGAGTAAATTCTCTTATATTAAAATTTAATGCTAATTAGATCATATCCATTTAATAAGTGTAAAAGGAGAAATAAATACAAATAACATAGAGATGATTCATTTTTAGGGTTTTATTAATCTCATGTTAAAGAAGATAGTTATCTCATGTCATAGAGACAGACTAGTGGGCTCCACCACTTGAAAAAAGAAAAGAAAAGAAAAGAAAAAGGTAGCACAGTTATCGAAAGGTGTGTAGGAGAAAAAACTTATCTCATATCTCATGAGAATAATTTTTCCCTTCATTTCTATTTGAGTATTTTCCATCATATGTAATGCAGTAGATAATGATTGCATGTGATAAAACGTCAACTCATAAGTTCATTAAAAATAATAATAATAATAATAAAAAGAAGTCTGTCTTTCGTATACAAAATTTCTTATATATCTCACATGTTAGAAGTGGAATTTTTTTCTATGAGCTGGTACTTCAATAGTTATTTATTGTCTCACCAACAAAATTTATTTATCCTAGTATATGCAAGCCTGCAAGGTATATAAAAAAATGTTACATGTACAATTAACATTTCTCCAAAATCAAACGATGGCAAATCTCTCTCTCTCTACACACATATACACATATATATATATATATATATATAAATAATGGGATTTATTATTCTTATGTCACATAAGGTAGAATTTATCTCCTACACACACAAATTCAAGATGGGTCCCACTTTATTTTTTTTTCTCCCCTCCTGAAAGTGGACCCCACCTGCACATATGAGTCTGTAGGAGATAATATTTATCTCCTACTACATGAGAAAACTATTACCCATAAATAATTATGTGAAAGCATAATGTTTAAGTAAAATAATTTTAACAATTCACGTTTAATTTTATGATGATTAATTTTTCTTACAAATGTTCACAACCGGCGGCAGTGCCACAGAAGCAAAAGTGGCATGGCTCTGTAAATTGTGAACGTGTGTGATAAGGACGGGTATCGTCAAAGCTTCCCTCTCATAACGGTGCATCCGGTTCCGCATCACGTGGCTTTGTGCGCTGTGTTATTCCTTTTTCTATTCACATGACTCCAGATGAATTGTTATACGTGTAGAAAATAAAATTATTTTTAGAAATATTAATCCCTTTATTTTATGGTTGTAAATTAAAAAAAAAAAAGTTTGGGGGTGAAATAGTTAAGGAGATCCCTTTTAATTTTATGGTGGGCCGTTGTGAAAAGGAGAGGGGTAATATGGGAAAGAGGTCATAAAAGAGTGAGAGCACGCAACCGTCTGGACAGGTACACTACGGTGAATGCAAAGGGAAAATGATAGTGGTTGTTGTCCTTACAGTTACCTCCAGCAGCATGGGTACGAGACAATCTTATTTCCACAACTACCCTTAGCTTTCTCTCTCCTACTCCAACTATAATTACTCTGTCCCCTGCTCCTGTAGTTACTGCACTACACTAACTCTGTGCTCCCAACACAATGAGAACGGTTGTGCGAGCCAATTGATCTTCCCTTCACTTCACACTGAGCTCAGCCACACACACACACACTCTCTCTGTCACTGTGAGAGTGTTTGTAATTCTAGAAGGTGGTGGTTAGCTTAACGATGGAAGCAGGAGAAGATTGTTGCGTGAAGGTTGCAGTCCATGTGCGACCGCTCATTAACGATGAGAAGGTTCTAGGCTGCAAAGATTGTGTAACCGTCGTTCCTGGGAAGCCTCAGGTGCATATACCCTCAACTATGTGATTGTGATTGTGATTGTGATTGAGAACTTCACTTGTCTGCTTTTTGAATGATTCACTCTTGCATTGTGTTTTCCTTCATTTTTTTTTTTGACTGGAGTATTGGATTGGAGAATCTAGGGGAGATCTGGATCATAGATTGCTTGCCTAATTAAAGATGATTCTGCTGAAACTACAGAATTAGGAATTGCTTTTATGATCTGTTGCTTACTTGATTGGGATATTTGACTTCCTTCTATTTTAGGTCATTGTGAACTTGAGAGCATGTATGGTGGAATGGCTTAGTTTCTGAAACGTTATTTTTTGGGGAAAGACGGGTTTTTGGTTTTGGTGGTTATGTATTTCGTGTTTTATTTTCAATATTGTGGGGAGGAGGGCATGTCGTATTCAGTTTTGCAATTTGGATTTTGACACGTAAGATCTTTAGCATATAAGTTACTTAAATGAGGTGTTTGGAACGCTTCAACTTTAGAATTAGCAATAATTTTTTTTTTTCTCATTTCAAATGAAATGGTTTATGAATCCTTGAGGTAACATTTACAAATCAGCAAAATTTGTATGCAAAAATGATTTGTAAATGAATGGAATCCTTAAACTCATCATTCGAAACAAGTTTCATACATGAACTTAGAACTCAGTTATCAATGAAATGAACAGTATGTGTGTGCGTGTTTTTGTTTTTGTTTTTTTTTTGGTTACGTTGGAGGTGCAAACGCCTTGATAGATAAGGGGGAACAGTGACCTAGTGCCAGTGGAGGATCAAACCTCTAACATCAACATTGCACTCAAGTCTAAAAGACCTGAGCTGGTGCCAATTGAGCTACAAGCTCGTTGGCTTAATGAATTTTTTTATTTTTTATTTTAGAGATTTCGAACGCACAGCCAATGACAAGTTGGTCTTAGTTAATGAAAGCAGCTCTTTGGTTTCTTTGTGCCATTTGGACTATGGCTCACTTGCTTTCCACATCAGTTCTGCCTTTCATGTTTTTTAGTTCCTAACTATATCAAAATTCCACTACTTTATTTGGTAAAAATATATGAGCTGATTTTTTTCATCATAATAGGTCAAAGTGATGAATATCTGTATATCCCTTCTATATCCAATTGAAAAAGGGTTACTAATTCCCTCGATTTCAAGGGAATTTAGTATTCAGTATATTTTTCATGTAAACTAATGCATGGATGGCAGTGACTTTATTTTGTGTTAAGTCTTTAGACACCTCGCTCTGCAATAGCTAGCCATAGTAGTATCCTTGAGTGGCTAAAACATCTGGGTGGAATCATATGCTGATTGTGACTATAATACAGGTACAAATTGGTGCCCATTCCTTTACATTTGATCATGTTTATGGGGGCACTGGTTCTCCCCCATCTGCCATGTTCGATGAATGTGTTGCTTCCCTTGTTGATGGTTTGTTCCAAGGATATAATGCTACTGTTCTGGCATATGGTCAGGTATAGTTACTCCAGAAGGAAACAGAAGTTTCATGCCACTTATTTTATTTCTCTTTGGCATGTGAAATTTTCGCTCCATTGCAGACAGGTTCTGGGAAAACATACACCATGGGCACTGGCTTTAAAGATGGTTGCCAAGCAGGAATAATACCCCAAGTTATGAGTGTCTTGTTTAACAAAATTGAGACCTTAAAGCATCAGATTGAATTTCAGTTGCATGTTTCCTTTATTGAGGTCTGTTGGTAACTTTGTTACAGTCTACAGTCATGGTTTCAGAAGTTTTATTGTGCTTTGATATCTGAAACAAATATATTTTGTATTAGTTAATTTGTTTAGATAAAGCATCTAACAACAACTTTTAACTGTTAAAAGATTCTTAAAGAAGAAGTAAGAGACTTGCTGGACCCATCCTCTATGAGCAAACCAGAAACTGCAAACGGACATGCAGGGAAAATGACTAGTCCTGGGAAACCGCCAATTCAAATTCGTGAGACATCAAATGGTGTTATTACCCTAGCAGGATCTACTGAAGTCAGTGTGACAACACTAAAAGAAATGGCTGCTTACCTAGAACAAGGATCATCGAGTAGAGCTACTGGGAGCACAAATATGAACAACCAATCCAGGTTGCTTATGCATTTTCCTTCTCTTCTTTTAACTGCATAAATTCATTCTTATTCATGAAATATTTTTCTATCTCATTTTTAGATTCATAAAGTATTTTTGGATAAATATGCTCGGAAAATATTATTAGAGCATGAGCTGTGTAATGTGACATTTTGATAATAAAGCAAAACCTAACAGAAGATATGGTGTATAAATTACTTTTTGGTTTTAAACTCTGCTGATGGTTCCACCTTTTAACAATGGGACTGAGCTTTTGGTTGTTTCTTTTAAAATCAATTCCATGTCAAATGTTTTGGATTTCTTGTTAGTTAAGGCAATGATTAATAGATGGATCTTTGGGCACTGCAAGAATGCTTGCAGTCAGCAGCACTTTCTAATGATTTTGTCAATGAATTTTCCAGAAATTTACTTGTTGGCATCAATTCAGGATTAAAAGTTGTGACACAAAATGCTGTTACTGTTTATTTTGCTGAAGTTCATTTCTGTTACTTATTCTTCGATTATATGTCCAACTAGTCGTTCACATGCCATCTTCACCATCACATTAGAGCAAATGCGGAAGCTCAATAGTCCTAGTGAGATCAGTTTAAATGATACCATGAATGAAGAGTATCTTTGTGCCAAGTTGCACTTAGTAGATCTTGCTGGATCAGAACGAGCTAAAAGAACAGGGTCTGATGGTCTGCGTTTTAAGGAAGGTTAGGTGGTGGCATTTTTCACTTTTATCTTCTAAACATTCTTTTGATCATTATGTATTCCCTAATATTTTTCTCTTTAAAACAGGAGTTCACATTAACAAAGGCCTTCTAGCACTCGGTAATGTGATTAGTGCCCTTGGTGACGAAAAGAAGAGAAAAGAAGGTGTTCATGTTCCTTATAGGGATAGTAAACTTACTAGGCTTTTGCAGGTTTGATATCTATATATGTAGCTTCCTTCCTGCAGCATAAACTCCTCTTCTATATTATGATGTTGAAAAATACTCCTTACTATATTATTTTTGGGGTGGGAGGGGTGTAACGCTGTTAAATAGACATATTTCCCCCCTGAAATCCCTAGCTTGTTTGATTGAATGGCCAAAAATACTAAAAATGTACAGAATCCAGTTATACATTTCATTTGTCTTTTTGACTTGGTCTTTAGCTCAAAATCTAGGAATTTAATGGAGACAAGAATTAGTGTGCTCTCCGTTTCTCATAACTCCAAATTTGTCAATGCCAAAGCTTACCTTTGTTGGATCTGGATCATACTGAACTGGAATTTATGATTTATCTTGATAACTACAATTGCCAAGAAGAAAAGAAGAAATGATTATTACTGAGAAGAAGGAAAAAATAAATAAATAGGAAACATGTATATGAAAGGTTTTGCATTAAATTTTTCTTTCTTTGATCTTTTTTAATGTAATTTTTCTATTTTTGTATTTATAGATAAAGTTGATTGATTTTGCAGGACTCACTTGGCGGTAACAGCAGAACTGTTATGATAGGTTGGTTGTTTTCCTTGTTTCTATCCCAATATCAATTCTATTTTTTTTCCTCCCATCATTGGCCTTCAAAAGATAATCTTTGCAAACATGTCTAGTCTTCATGGATCTCATGTTTAATAATCTGCTCTCTCTCTTTTTACTGTATGGTAATTTCTTTCTGCTCTTTAATATTCAAGTTCATCAAAACAGTTCTGTCTTTTTCTATGAACATAGTACCAGGGAGGCAAGAAATATTCAATTTGCATTCTCAAATATTTTTCCTCAAATATTCAAGAAATATTTTGATACAAGAATTGCCCTCACCCCACCCTCGCTAGTCGGGTTTTAATGGGGAATGATTTTTTTATGGGAATGATTTTTTAGAACATTTGAACTTCTTGCAACTTCTTTATCAGTTTATCCTGAATGATTGATGGCAAGTATTAAAATGCTGTATTACATGTTCTGGTTCCCTTCCCAACCTGTCAAGTTTCATCTTAGACAACCTGTTGTTGAATTTATAATTTTTCTTACATTAAAAAGATTTTTGTTCCAGCCTGCATAAGTCCTGCTGATATTAATGCTGAGGAAACCCTTAATACTTTGAAGTATGCAAATCGTGCGCGCAATATCCAAAATAAGCCTGTTGTAAGCATCTGCATAATTTTACATTCCCTTTCTTGATTTGCCAAAATATAGATAATTGGCTGCCTTATGATGGACATTGATGTTCATTTTTTTTTTATTCTTCACTAGGTCAATAGAGATCCCATGTCCAATGAAATGCTAAAGATGCGACAACAGCTAGAGTATTTGCAAGCAGAACTTTGTGCTCGTTCTGGTGGCTCTTCTGAGGAAGTTCAGGTAGTTGGTTTCTGTTTACTTAATCTTTGGCAATTTCTTCATTACTTTTAATATATTTCCTATAATAAAGTAGTAGTAACATTGAATGGACATGATTTATAGTCCACAGTTGGAGATCAACCAATGCTTGTCATGTTGGTTATTTAAAAGAAAAATATCCTAGCCTTCCTTGACTATACCTGGGCCTTTTTCAACAGATACTTCTAAATAATTTGATTTACATCAATTACATATATTGATATGGTTTTTGTATCATTAATATATAATCATTTTATAACTGATTATGTAGGTCCTCAAGGAACGAATTACTTGGCTTGAAGCAGCTAATGAGGATCTTTGTCGTGAACTTCATGAATACCGTAGTAGATGCTCTGTTGTAGAACAATGTGAAAAGGATGCTTATGTATGCCTCTGATTCTTCTATTGATAATCTTCTTTGACTGAATTTTTTATCAAATTTTCACTGCCTAGATATGTTCTCTCATCTCGTCTTGATATTTGCATCCAACTGCATGGAATGATTCCCATTAATTGTCATAGTCATGAGTGAAATTGAGTTTAGGATATTGCTTGCTAGGCTATACGTTTACATTTTAAAACTTCATTTTTCAGGATGGTAGCACATACAATGTAAAGACTGATGGGCTTAAGAGGGGCTTACCTATCACAGCCTCTGATTATCCAATGGGTGAAACAACAGGTAAGGCTCTTCTTTGGCATGGATTTAATAATCTGTTATTAATGCTTTCTCTATCACTTTACATGCTACTTCTCAAATTTATTTAAGTGTGGTTAATAAAACTTCAATGCCTCACGGATACAATTGCCAATTTTAGCAGGGGATTCAAGGGAAATTGAAGAAGTAGCAAAAGAGTGGGAGCACACACTTCTGCAAAATACTATGGATAGAGAGTTACATGAATTGAATAAACGCTTGGAGCAGAAAGAGGTTGTTATAGTGCATATGTATAATTAAACACATATCCATGACGTAATATGCATCAACCAATAACACATTTAAATCAACAGAATCATGGGTAACTTCTGTTCTATAATTTGATTAACCTTACTGTGAGAAATTTATGTTTCTAAAGGTTGATATTGTTTTCCGCTTTGGCTTAGAAAATGATTATGTTGTGCTTGAGTTTTATTACTCTATAGAGTCTAAAATAAGGACATGGTTATTAAGATTGATCTTCTTCTAAAAATAATTAAATTATTCATCTTCATCATTAACAAAAAGCCAAAATCAAATAATTAATCCTGAAAGCAGCATTGAGTGGTTTTCTCCCAGTTTTATTGAAGGATTGGAAAGCATTATGAATAGACTCTTTAAGAAGTGCATTCCATATTTTCTTCTCTCTTATTTTATTAATGTACATATTGGGATTAATTTCCGTACAGTCTGAGATGAAGCTTTTTGGAGCAACTGATGCTGAAGCACTCAAGCATCACTTTGGGAGGAAAATAATGGAACTGGAGGATGAGAAGAGAGCTGTGCAGGTTCAATACAAGTTCTGCAAAGTAATTTTGCTCCTACAGAAAATTTATATTCATAAATGCACCTGATTTATGAATGCAGCGAGAGAGGGATCATCTTTTGGCTGAAGTTGAAAATCTTGCTGCCAATTCTGATGGACAAACACAGAAATCAGAGGATATCCATGCCCAAAAATTGAAAGCACTTGAAGTCCAGGTGAGAAGGTTTTTTTATTTCAATTTACTCTTCCTTTTATAAGATTTGAATTGGAACAATTCTAAATTGCTAAAATCTCTTTCAACATATATAAATGCTAGATTCTGGATCTGAAGAAGAAACAGGAGAACCAGGTTCAGCTTCTGAAGCAAAAGCAAAAAAGTGATGAAGCAGCAAAGCGACTGCAAGATGAAATACAATCTATAAAGGCCCAAAAGGTTGATTGTTGTACTTTTTCATTTCTGTAGTTGAGACCTCTTAATATACTCTCTCTCTATTATAAATTAAATAACATTGCAGGTTCAATTGCAACAAAGGATAAAACAAGAGGCAGAACAGTTTCGCCAGTGGAAGGCTTCCAGAGAGAAAGAGCTGCTGCAAGTATGTCAAGATATCTCTTTTTACATTATTTTTATTTAATTTGTGCATGATACTCCTCAGCTTTATCTCAAGGTAATGAAAGTTCACCAATTAATGTTCTTCCCAAAATGAAACAATTGCTTCATTTTCAGTTGAATGTTTCTCTATAAAAATGTAAACATGAATTAGTACCTGATTTATAGTTTGAGTCCAAATGGAATGTGCTGCTCCAAAGCTTTCAAATAACTCAAATTCAAGAGGTAGTATTAGAGTTCGGCCAGTGTGATAGTTGATCATGACCATAGTTGTTAAAATCTTATTTGCGACTTGAATCTCACAATTCGATATGATTTGCAAGCCAATGATCTGTATCATGTGATGAATCGGAGTTGACTTTGAATTGTGCGATATATGTATAAATCGATGCAATTCTGTATCACTTAAACAAATCGCATAATTCAATGATTTGATAATTTTTTTCTTTTTTGCTTTGCTTCCATCAATTTTCATAAAAGAAATTGAAAAGTCAAATAAGCTTAAATTGTTAAATGAAAACGAACTAAAAGAGCGCTATGAGTGCACCCTATTTAATTATTTCATTGCCCTGTTTCATTCCCAGTTTAAAATTATTACATTGAGCATTCCACAACATTTATATGATATACTTAAAGCTATTTTTCATTGTGTCCTGAATCTTACAATTCAATGTGCTCTATGACTTATATTAACTATGTTTGCAAAACAGTTAAGGAAGGAAGGAAGAAGAAATGAGTTTGAAAGGCATAAGCTGCAAGCTTTAAATCAGCGCCAGAAAATGGTGAGTATTTGCTAAGTTGTTGGACGGAAGCCTTGTTTTGCTTAATAATCTTGTCTTGTATGCTTTTCATAATAAATCTCTCAAGTCATATGTGATTAAACTTTTGCTGATATCATCGGCAAATTTGATAGATTGTATGTCTATTACTCTTAGATTTCCATTTAACATATCATTCTATCCATTATTTAAGGATGTCCAATTTTTCAGCAATAGTTACTACTCTAATCCACAGGAGTATCTTTTGTGTATATAAGCTTCTAACTTATATTAGGGATAAATATTATGACTGAGGAAATTGTGGTAGCACTGCTTTTTTGCCTGCTCAAAGGCTTTTAATTTTGGCAGGCCCCGGGCAAAACATGTGCCAAAGGGTGAGGGGGAACACTTTTTGTGTTGTTGTTTTTATGACTGAAAGACAAACATTGAGATATGATAGAACATGCTTTTGTTAAGACATATAATTGAAAATAAATACATGTGACTTTACCTTATAGCTTAAACTTTTGGGATAGTTGGTTGCTTGATATGGTATCAGAGCCTCTGTGTCCAAGTGGTTTAGAGTTTAATCCTTGTCACCCCTATTCTTCTAATAAACTTCTAATAAATAGCACATGTAGGTGAGTCTATGCATTGTCCTCCTTTCAAACTCAATAAACTCTTGTGTGAAGGGATGTGTTAGAAATATAATATTCTATATAAAATCATTCATCTGCTTTCATCTAACAGCATAAGCTATCGAGTTGAATTGGGTCTTGACAGCTTTTTTATTTTATTTTCCAGGTTTTTAATGAAATAAGTGTTATAAAAACTAAAGGAACATTTCTTCTTATGGATTGAAATCTACATAGGAATGGTATGACTTTAGAAGTCTGTACTGTATAATATGGTTCAATTAGTGGTGGCCAAACTGGGTGAGGTATCCAAATTGCTGCTGCATGGTGTTGGTGCAGTCAATTTGAGCAATGGTGCATTGTCAATTTAAGCACCAGTACATAGCCATGTGCAAAATATTAATGAAGATAGAATACATGTTTTATACCTTCATTATCCAGACATCCTTTTAGAGATTAATATTCTCACAAGCATAGTATTCACAAATAAATCTTTTACTGAAAGCTAAATAAAACATTGTTTTATGATGGGATTTTAAAAAATCAAATCAGAATGACTTGTTGTATGTAGATCTGTTTTCTGCTTTATCTACACAACATGTATATTTCTTACTCTGGAAAAAATTGAAAGGTTCTTTAACCAAAAAAAATATATAAGTGAAAGGTTTAGAGAAACACCAACCATCAATTTTATTCTTGACTTATGTGGTTTTCATGACTGATACTTGTCATAATAAATTATTATATTTACTAACTGAATATTTCGTTCAGGTCCTTCAGAGAAAGACTGAAGAAGCTGCAATGGCCACCAAGAGGTTAAAAGAGTTGTTAGAAGCTCGTAAATCTTCAAACCGAGATACTTCAGGTATGATTTTGTTACAGACCTCTACTCGGATTAAGAAACTATTAACAGTAACAGGGACTTTTTGGCCTGAATAACATCATATATTGAGCAAAAGACAACTACAAAGACACTGAACAAGACAACTTACAGAGACAATTTGCAGAAAATAAAGAAATTACAATGAACAATGAACTGGGAATAACAAAATAAAAAAAATAAAGGATAATGTGAGACAACTTTAGAGGTCACACTCTCTCCTAATCCCGAAAGGGCCCGTTCAATACTTAGATTCCAGAATGCCTTTCCATGTTTCCTTCCCCTCCCATATAACTAACTCTCAGACACTACCATGCGTTCCATTCTGTTAAGGGGTAATATTGGGACCCCTGGCAGTGACGTGGCCACAAATGAATTACTCAGTTGAGCCATTTGGGCTTGAGTCCCTTGGGCTTGAGCTGGAGTCTCTTGGACTTGAGTCTCTTGAGTCCATACCTTCCTGTTATTGTCCCTCTTGTATTTCTTGATCTGAATTGTATCAGATTTGTTTTTATTGGATAACAATGTTTAAGTTTTTTAGGATACTGAGACAGAGTCTTGTATGAGGCATTGGAAAATCAGGTTATAGTTTATTTATTAGATCATTTGAAAGTTAGGTTCTTTTAAAATGCCTTAAGCAGAGGGGAAACAATCTTTTTAGTGAATAACAGGGGGGGTGTGGGGGCATGAACTGTTCTCTTTTATTTAATATTCTAATTCTATTTCATCTTCCAGTTACAATGAATGGAAGTGGAACAAATGGACAGGTAACGAACCTTCCTTCCTCTTCTTGAATTTGCTTTGATTATCCATGCTATCTTAAATAAGTTTTTTGGTTGATTCTTTAGAGCAATGAGAAATCCTTCCAACGGTGGCTTGATCACGAGCTAGAAGTCATGGTAAAAGAGCATGAAGTTCGTTTTGAGTATGAGAAGCAGAGTCAAGTGTATGTAACATATGTTACTAAATCATTTTTCTTACTGATTAATCTGTATTGTAGTCTTTTAATATTGTGATCCAATCTTCAGGCGAGCTGCTATTGCAGAGGAGTTAGCCATGCTGAAGCAAGTAAATGAGTTTGCTGCCAAGGGTCTCAGTCCTCCAAGAGAAAAGAATGGATTTGCTAGGTGTGTTTTTTTTTTTTTTTAAAATAATTATAATTAAACTTGCTACTGCCTACCTCTTTACTTTTGAAAGATTGGCTCTTTCAAATAATAACATAGAATATAAAAGGAAAAAATTTCTTTCTTCCTGTTTGCTTTTAACACTTGCCATACTTCTTAGAGCATCCTCCATGTCACAAAATGCAAGAATGGCCAGAATAGCTTCACTTGAGAACATGCTGAGCATATCGTCTAGTTCACTTGTGGCAATGGCTTCTCAACTTTCTGAGGCAGAAGAACGAGAACGGGCTTTCACTAACCGTGGACGCTGGAACCAGTTGCGCTCAATGGGAGAAGCCAAGAATTTGCTTCAATATATGTTCAATTCTATTGCAGATGCTAGGTGCTTTTCTTAACCTAAACTTTTTTAATCTTTTCTTTTGATCTTTTCCCAAACCGAGAGAGAGAGAGAGAGAGAGAGAGAGAGAGAGAGAGAGAGAGAGAGAGAGAGAGAGAGAGAGAGAGAGAGAGAGAGAGAGAGATGTGCATTATTCTGAGTGGCCAAATTTTACATGCTTTTAATCTGCATGCATATATGATCCTATTCAACCAACACTTTTTTATTTTATTAAAATTATAGGAAATTCAGTAATTCATGCAAAACATTAGAACAATACTTTGTCATATTTTATCCACTTGTTTAATTAATGAAATAAGGAAGTAAAGATAAAGAAAGGAAGGACCCCAAGATGCCCATGTATATGAAAGTACTTTTATGGATTTACCATTTACTTAGTTTGGTCTTGGATAGATTTGACTTTGTTATCTTGCTAATTCAATGATTCTGTTACATATAATATTTACGTGATGGAAAGGAAAAGGTGTCATTTAGGGCTTAAAAGTTTCCCTTCATACCTGGTACCTTGTTGCTGGTTTGAACTCCATTAACAGGATGATTGGTTGCAAGAACCTGGTCATCAATAAACTAGGAGGAAAAGAATTACTTCCAATTCTTGATATTTTTGAGTAGTCATTTTTCCTTCCTGCTGAAGGTCAGAATATTTAGCTCTTGAGGTGTGATTTATTTTCTTGGCCATTTCAAAATGACTGGAATGTATGACTATTAGTCATGTTAAAATATTATATACACTCATTTGTGTTTTTATTGAGTGGTTTATATTGGCATGCTTGTATATACTGTTGAAATCTGAAGTATAAGACATTGACTACAGGTTCCAGCTGTGGGAAAAGGACATGGAGATCAGGGAAATGAAAGATCAAATCAAAGAACTTGTAGGTCTATTACGGCAAAGTGAGATTAAGAGAAAGGAAGTGGAGAAGGAACTAAAAGTGAGAGAGCAAGCTGTTGCAACCACATTGGCTACACCAGCTTCTGTAAGATCTTGTCTGCTTAAGATTCAAACAAAACTAAGAATTTGAAAACAAATAATTGTAGTGCTGTCTGCCAAAGAGTCGGATTTTCCGTATTATAAAGTTGAAGAAAAAAATTAGGTTTGTGAACAGAATAAGTTAACATAGCACCTATGGTGGTAGGGCATCATGCATAAAAGCTCATCACACATCTTGATGGCCATGTTTTCTTTGAACATAAACTCTACGTACTCCCAGACCAAGTAGACCAAACTTGAAGCTCTAGTTGAATAATCATCCACTAACAAATAATTAAAACCCAAATGTCTGCTCAAATCTGTAAGACTTGGATGCGATGTTACAAGGCAAGTGCTTGCACCTCTGGTGTGACAAAAACACACTAAACAAATGCTCGAAAAAACTGGATGCAAAGCCCACAAGATTAAATGCCTCATAGACATGACTATATTTGGCAGAGAATGTAGAAAACAGAGAGTGAAAATGGAGTGGAATAGAAAGGTTATGATTTTCACTCCTTGGTGCTTGATAATAGATGCAAAGTGGGTTGAAAGTCTTTCTTCTCATTTTCGTGCCATGCGAGGAGAGACCCAATTTATGGATACATAATTAAAATGGGTTGCCATCTCTCTGTTAACCAAGTTCTTCTCTTTTCCAACCGCTTCAGGTATTTGTACCAAACAACTCTAAAGTAATTTTCCTTCCAAATTGTCTGCCTCCCTTTTCGTTCTATTCATTTTCCGCTCAACCAAGCACACCCCGAGTACTTCACTAATAAGTGCGAAGTCGCTAACAAAATTATTAAAATACCCCAAAAATGAAAGTAAAAAATCTATGATAAGTAGAACCCAGTAATAGCTTACATATAACTTACTAATCCTAATTAGCTCTGTAAAGAACCAATGCTAATCAGGAGCTTACCCAAAAATGAATTGGTTCTTTACATGATATCAGAGTCGGATTGTGTTCGAACTAGCTAGGTGTTTGGCTAGAGGCGGGTTGAGTATTTTGGGTCTGGGTACTCGATTAAGGGGAAGTATACCAATATTGGGTTTCATACTTGAGGAAAAGATTGTTGGGATATTCAAGTGTGATGAGTCCCACATTGGTTGGTAATGGGCCAAGTGAAGTGAATATAAGTAGATGGACTCATTAACCCAATGTCTTAAGATTTTGGGTTGAGATGTGGTGTCGGATCCACTTGGTGTATTTGATCCACTTAGCCCATTGGTGGTGGTCCCCCGCCACGGGCTTCCCTTGGATCCGCCTGACAGTGGTACCAAAACATCGTGTCTCGGATTCGATCCTCACCGCCCTCCACTTTCTTTCTAGTGGAATTTTTTTCTTAGCACAGGTAGATGGGCCTGTGCACTATCCACACTTCAAACCTAATGGGCTGGGTTCGATTCTCACCCTCCAAAATCAGCCTCACCCAACAGCTTAGGCTTTTGGGTTGAATTGGTTTTTTACAAGCTTCATAATAAAAATTAACCAAAATAATGAGATTCTTTTATCTTTAAATTTAAGCTTTGTTGAATCTACTGCCACCTGCATCCGAGATAATATGTAGCTTGAATATAAACTTTTTTGAATCTGAAGGTTTTGCCTATCTTGCACAATTATTTTCCACTACTTGGTTATGGCAAATTACAATTAGATTACCATTATTTACAATATAAAGAAATTATGATTCTGAGATTTTTGTATAGCCTTATAATGACTATCTCCTTCAGTTGGGATTATGTCTTTTGTTGCCTTCGTTTTCCTTGTAGCTGATATTTTATGATTGTTGTTGGGACAAGCTTTTGGTCGGATATGTTTTACTTTTGTGAATTATAGTAATTGTGATCAACATATGGCTTTTATTGTCAGTATTTAATTTATCATCACTTGATGTCAACAGGGAAACTCTCCAAATTCATTGAAACACTGCGCTGAAGACATCAAGGAACCTTTATCTCCAGAGTCTGTGCCAGTACAGAAACAGCTTAAATATACACCAGGCATTGCTAATGGCCAATTGAGGGAATCAGCAGCATTTATAGATCAGAGTAGAAGGGTGATTTATTCTCCATTTATGTTAAATTGTTATATGTCTTTTCATTGGGCTAAATATCTTATATTTGCTGTCAATGCAGATGGTACCCATTGGGCAACTGTCAATGAAAAAGTTAGCAATTGTAGGACAAGCCTCTGGCAAGCTATGGAGGTGGAAAAGAAGCCACCATCAGTGGCTACTACAATTCAAATGGAAGTGGCAGAAGCCATGGAAACTTTCTGAATGGATTCGACACAGTGATGAGACAGTCATGAGAGCAAGGCCACGTTCACAGGCTCTGCCAAATAGCATGTGAATCTGATCGTTTTTGTGATCAGTCATTTGCTGCTGCTCATTACCTACAAGAATGATCCTAGACACAAAGCATTGGAAAGAATTGAAAACTAAGTGCAGGTATTAACATCTTTTACACACACAACCCCCCCCCCCCCCCCTCCCTCTCTTCCCCTTTAATTTTGATTTATGTCTTCTAATTCTATGATAATTATTAATTATGTAATACTCGGTTATAACTATCCAAAAACTTTCCTAGTTTCTTTTATAGAATAAGATGCATTGATCTGACATTCCTTGTTTCTTGCTGCAGTGTTATATAAATGGTTGCTGACATTATACATGTAACCCCAACAAGTTTTGGTTAATGCTGCCCGAATCTTGGAAATGTTTATGTAGTTACTGCATATGGAACATCTTGTGAGGTGTGTTGAAATGCTGCCGACAGCTACCCAAATAATTAAGCATAGGAGATAGTTGCTTGCTTGAAGGCATTGGTAAAGATCTTTCCAGACAAATTATCTTGGAAGTTTTATGTTCATACCAACACTAGAAGAAGAAAAAAAAGGAAATGTTTTCGTGTGAAGTCTTGGAAATGTGTATTGAGGGTCTTCTATTCCTTACTGTTAGCTTCTATGGTCTTAGTGTGTTTGAGTCAACCATGGATTTTTGTTGACAGAAATCCTGTAGCATTCCTCTGTCACATAGCAACAGAAGGAAATTCTTCTGTATTATTTTTTTTCAAGGGTTTGTGTGTAAAGAACATTAGTTATATTGAAAGGGAGCATAGTCTACCCATACAGATTTTGTAATAAGTGGATGGTGATAAACGACATCTTAGTGATTTGCACTTGTAAATTAGATTTTCGTTTTTATTTTTTTTAACTTTTCTTGATTTACGGTTCCCATCTCCTACAGGCCATAACCAAACCCAATGAAATCTGAACCTAAAGTAATCAATGTTTAACATTACATATATCGTCAACATTGTATTCTTTATTGTACATAATCGTACGGGCAGACCAATGTTCCTCCCTCCCTAAATTTAATTTTTTTTAATTATTTTATATATAAAATAATTTTTTTAATAATAATAAATTATTAGTATTAATAATTAGTCACTCCTTCAAAAATATTTATAATAATTAATATCTTTTATTAGTCTTAACAATATTTAAGATTTTAAAATTTTATTTCCGTCACTTATTATAAAAAAAAAAAATACTGGGTACTCACTGTGTATATAGGTGTATTATTTAATTTTCTAAGTTCATCGTGGGCAAAGCCCAAGCTAACATAACTTGCAGGAGGGAAATTGAATGTTTTGGGCCCTTAAAGCAAATCAGGCAAACAATACAGCTTCTTGACCATGGGTATACATTGTACGTCTAAATATTTTGGCCACATACAAGGGAGTTCGCAAAATCTCCGGCAATTTTTCATATCAAATTACTTTCCAATGGAGCATGAGACATTGGAATGAAGTCAATTTTGAGTTGTGAGGGAGGCCTTCTTTTTGGCATTATTTATGTGCGCAAGCTGGATGATAAATACTCTGGCAAACTTCAAAGCTTTAGTATTTTATACTCTCTTTTTTTTTTTTTAATTTCATTTCTCCCTCGGTTCATCGGAATTGATAGAGGTGGTGGTTCTCCCTTTCATGCTACCAATTGCCAACATTGCACAAGAAAATTCAAGGGGGAATCAGATGACTGAAGTTCATATATACTACAGCAAAGGAAACAATTCTGGAAACAATTCTGCCCTTATTGGACCCTCTAGGAGATTTATATGTTGCCTGGAAGTATGAAGTAGTTAAACTCTCTTAATAATATAAGAGAGAACGCTTGAATGAAAAATGAGCATAAAGAAAACCAAAAACAAATAAAGGAAAGAATATGACTAGCTGATAACAGCTATATCATTGTTTTCAGTAAGATAGAATTGCCATCTAAATGTATGTATACATGCCTAAAGTTCATTATTGTTACATGAAAATCCGCAGAAAGAGTAAACACGATGGGATAATAAAGTACTCTTGGCTCAAATAGTAACACTAGAGTCAACATGGACCAACATACATCCAGTATTTACCGGCATTTCTGTATTGGTAACTAAATCACTATGACCATAGCATGACTTTTCCAAAGACCAAGGTATAAGGCAATCAGAACTCAAGTTCCATCAGTCCATCTTGACAATGCATATAAAAACATGGCATCACATAGCAGATGTCTAACCCTATACCAAAGCATTGGGATTAACAACACCAGTATGCATAGTGCTCATCTTTGCGATTGTTACTAACAAGGCCCCCACACTTCAAACAGATGAAGCTGCTTCCATCTGCAACTGCATCCAATACTACTTGCATCCTGCCTGTTTCTGCCAGTATGGAAGTCCCATGAGCGCTTGGGGTAATTGATGGGCTGGCAATGTTATTTGCAGAAGGTTCAATCATTACAGGCTGAGCTTCAGCAATGGCACACTCAGCAAACAAAGAAGCCAGCTGATCAACCTCAGCATTCTCTTGTAGTCTACTTCTATACAGCTCACGAGCACGATGTAAGGACTGAAAGACAGCTTCATCCCCACCTTTATTCTTCATTGCTGTGACCACCTGTTTCAATTATAGGTAAAATATTGACCACCCAAAAGACTTGTACATTTACGGAATGTTTGGTTTATTTCATTTTCAGTTGATATATTTCATTACTAATTATAAGAAAAACATCCTTGTTTTCATTTTGTTTCATGTTCTCTGAATTTTGTGAGGGAAATGATGAAAACAAGATTTTATTATTTTCAGTACTTCCTTTAGTAAACTAAGTGAAATTTTTGTAATTGTTATTCAAAACATATCAATTAAAAATGAAATCAGATAACAACTAAAAACCCTCTTAGCTTTAGCCTATGTTTTCTCATTTGACAATTATATTGCACTTTCTACAAACATATTTTATGTTTCACACATCACAACAGATAATATCCTCCACGGAAAGCTTGAATAGATGATTCCACATCACTTTTTATTATCTAGGTTCTAAAGACATCAAAACCAAAGATAAAACTGTCACATGTCTCCAAGCCGTTCAAAGCATTGGAGTATTAGACCATGTTTATCTGACAGTGATTCCCTGAAAATATAACCTCTTAAAATGTAAAACTACACAAACCTTCTATCAAGGGCCAGTTTTTGAATGAACACACTAAACATGTAACAAGAGCTTCATTTTGACAACGCGAGCAATGGCTTTTACTTTTCTTTTAAAAAAGTATGAACTTGTTTATGCACAATGTGCCTGACAGATCATGTAAATGTGTATTTAGGTAATGCTATCTTGGTAGTTTAGGATATGTTCAGGAATTGGGAGAGGTAAGGAGAGAAAGGAATTAAAAGAAAATGATGGGGAAGGGAAGGGGAAAAGAGGGGGGGTTAATTAATAAGTTTTCTCCTCTTAGTCCTGCAAATTGGGGGAACTTTAGAATGTTCACAAAACTTAATAAGGGAGGGTTTTGGGGGTTGCATGATAATCTCCCATTTTCCTCATCTTAAAACTTCCCAAAAAAGGGTAAAGTTTACTTAAAACATTCCCTTCCCAAATCCCCCACACCCTGAGTTTTTCCATTCCTACATGTAGCTGCACATGCAGAAGGCCAGATGCATGAGTAGCATATATTAGTGCATGTTTGGTTTTGATTGATTTCAAAGAAAAAAGCACTTTTTCTTTACAAAAGCTCTATCTGTGAGATTTTTTATTATCTGTTTGGAATCCAAAGTAAGCAAATTCAAACACATAATGTGCAACTGATCAGTTAAGCAAAGAAGCCAGCTATTGCTTCACCCCGAGGCAAAGCTTTTAAGGGAGTTTGGCACACAAGGGAGACATCCCAGTATCAAACTTCAAGAAGAATCAAAACCCCAAATGTTTGATGTAGCAAATAAACAAACTAACAAATAAAAATCATTTAATTTGACTCAGTATGCTAAAATTTGCACAAAACTGACACTGTATACTGCAAATTACATAAGTGAGTTCAAATTAGCATGGGAATTGTCCCTAATCTTTCTTAAATTCATTCATTTGGCAACTTATGAGTCATTCATCCCATAACATCAAACAGAAATTTTGTATGCAAATTAGCAATTGAAAAGCAGAGAAAAAGAAATAAATAATAGAAATCATAAAGATTACAGCTTGGAGGGCCTGAGAAGGTTTTCCTTGATTGATGAGTTGTCGAGCCAATGTGAGTAAATCACGGACAACATCATTCTGGCCCGAGCTTGACACCTGCGATGCCTCCGCCTCCCTCATCTCAGCATCCATCTTTTTGTTGTCGTATGATGTTTTATTCTTTTCTTTCTTCTGTCTCCTAAACTTTTATCACTTCGATTTCCAAGTAATAATATTAATCAAATCAATTCAAAGGGTTGGGCTTTGAGGATTTTTAACTTAAGATTCTGAATAGGATTGATGAAAAGAAATAAGTGAATTATAAATAGAGTATACAAATGCAGATATTATAATTCTAGCACATTCTGCTGCTGGTTATGTCCATTTCTCATATACCAACAAACAAGCATATGATACCCTTGGGTTAAGCCCACAAATTGATCCACTTACAACTCTCATGGCATGGTCATGACTCATGTCCATTTAAATAGTATGATAAATGAAAATTAAATTAATTTTTTATATACAATAAATAAATAAATAAATATAAATATTATTGAATATTTCTTTGTTAAGTTTTTTTTTTGGTAATAAAAATTCAATATAATTTATTAATTTTTAAATTTTGACTTAATTTTTTTCTTTTGATTCAATTAATAAGATTTTAAATATCCTTAAAACATGGTTGAGAAATTTTTAGATTTTTTTTTTCCTAAAAATGTTCTCTTTCAAATTTTCTTAAAGAACTAAAATAATAATTTATTTTTAATTTTACTTTAATATACAACGAGTAAATATACATATATGTTAAATAAAAATTATTCATTATAGGTGTGAACCTATTTATAGTTTGATAAATAGAAGTTGATTTCATTGGTGATCAATATAAAAAGAAGATTTCATTTTTTTATTTTATTTTTTAAATTTTTACACAAATATAATAGAAAATACTACAATAATTAGATAAATAATAGTGCACCATGATCCATCCAATGTGTTGGGAACTCAGTTCCTTAAGATCAGCTCAGGGGCTTTTTGCGGAAGTCAGTCAGCAAGATCCTGATATCGGATCTCGGCAATACCTCGGCCTGAACTTTACCAGGTCGGGCAGCACAGCGAAAAATCAAAAACACAAATAGGAGAGAAAGAGAAGGAGAGAGAGAGAGAGAACACAAGCAGTTTTAACGTGGGAAAACCTTCTTCAATGAAGAAGTAAAAACTCACGGGACCTAGTCCAGATCAAAAATCCACTATGAAAATAATGGTTACAAAGAATCAAATACACCAATGTGGTGGTTAACTCAACCTCTCCAACAATGGTGATAATCAAACAACCCTAGAGATGTTTCACTCAAACTCTCTCTAGAGATCTCTCAAATACAAAGCATAAAGCTTTGCTCAAACCTCTCAAATAATTTTCTCTCAAATTTCTCTCTCTCAACCTCTTAACCTCTGACCTAGCCTCCACCCTCAACTAATGAATATATAGAGGATGTGGAATTTAGGGTTTAGGATTTTTAGGAAACCCCTCAATGGGCTTGGGCTTAGCATTGAAGGAGGAAGCCCAACAAATCTCCCCGCCGACTTCAATGCGTCGTCTTCAGCATCAACCCGGCTCCTTCACAACAGTCTTCAAATTTCCTTGCTGGAACAAGCTTTGTCATCATGTCACACCAATTTTGGTCAGTGTGCACCTTGACGAGTTCGAGCTCTCCACCTTCCACCACATCCCGGATCCAGTGATACCTCACATCAATGTGCTTAGTGCGGGAGTGATAGGTCAAATTCTTCGCAAGATGGATTGCGCTTTGATTGTCACAACCCAGCTCGTACTTGTCTTGATCATGACCGAGTTCCATGAGGAACTTCTTCATCCACAACATCTCTTTGCTTGCCTCAATCGCGGCAATGTACTCAGCCTCAGTTGTCGATAGTGCAACACACTTCTGAAGTCTTGATTGCCATGAGACAGCTCATCCGACAAATCTCATCATGTATCCCGTCGTCGATTTCCTCGAGTCGGAATCTCCCCCTAAATCAGAATCCGAGTAGCCTTGCAACTCGGCTTTTCCTTCTCCAAATTGGAGGCATAAATTAGTCGTACCTCGGAGGTACTTAAAGATCCACTTCACTGCTTCCCAATGTTCTTTGTCGGGGTTTGGCAGATACCGGCTTACCATTCCAACAGCATACGCCAAGTCGAGTCTAGTGCAAACCATTGCATACATCAAGCTTCCGACGGCGGATTGGTACGGGATCTTCATCATCTCGTCTTTTTCTTCATCAGATCTCGGACATTGCTTCTGGTTCAGCTTTATGTGTTCGGCAAGGGGGGTGCTCATTGTTTTAGCTTTGTCCATGCTGAATCTCTTCAGAATCTTCTCAATATACTTCTCTTGACTCAGCCACAGTAGCTTCTTTTGTCTATCTCGGATAATCTTGATTCCGAGAATCTGCTTTGCAGGGCCGAGGTCCTTCATTGCGAAGGATGAGCTCAACGCCTTTTTTAGGACGGCTATCCTCGATTTGTCTTTCCGTACAATAAGCATGTCGTCAACATATACCAACAAGATCACAAAAATCTCCGGCCTCATACCTCTTCACAAATACGCAGTGGTCGGCTTCTGTCTTCTTAAACTTATGATCAGTCATGAATGATTCAAAGTTCTTGTACCACTGCCGAGGTGCTTGCTTCAAGCCATAGAGGCTCTTCTTCAATCGACATACCAACTTTTCTTGGTTTGGAGCTCGGAACCCTTCAGGTTGCTCCATATAAATTTCTTCTTCTAAGTCACCGTGAAGAAATATCTTCTTCACGTCCATTTGTTCTACCTCGAGGTCCATCGAAGCTGCCATAGCTAACACGGTTCGGACCGAGGTCATTTTCACTACAGGAGAAAAAATCTCCTCAAAATCTACTCATTTCTTCTGATTGCAGCCTTTCACTACAATTCGGGCTTTGTATCTCGGCTTCTGTCCGTTCTCTTCATTCTTAATCTTGTAGACCCATTTGTTTTTCAGAGCTCGTCTTCCTTCAGGCAACTCGGTCAGCTCATAAGTCCGATTCTCGTGCAGAGACTTCATCTCGTCTTGCATTGCCTTTTTCCATACTTCTTTCTCTGAGCTCGTTACAGTCTCGTCATAACTTTGAGGCTCACCGTCTTCAGCTACAACGGTGTATTCATAAGATGGGTATCTTGTAGAGGGTCTTCTTTCTCGAGTTGGATATCTCAGCTGTTCTTCAGCTTGAGAACCCGGTTCATCATTCTCATCCCGGATCTCATCATCAACTCGGACCTCAGTGTCTTGATTATCTTCAGCTTGTTGCTGATCATCATTTTCTTCATTTTCTGGATTTTCTGGATTCTCTTCCCCTGCTTCAGCTCGGACATGAGGGATGGGTTCTTCATGTCTGATAGTAACCCAGACTTTAGGCTTCGAAATGTCATGAATGTTCTCATCTTCATGAAAGATCACATCTCGGCTTCTCACTATCTTCTTATTGATTGGATCCCAAAGTCGGAACCCGAACTCACATCTCGGCGAACCAAGATAGATGCATTCTTTTGTCTTCACATCAAGTTTTGCCCTTTCATCTTTAGAGACATGCACGAAAGCTCGACATCCAAATACCTTCAGTTGATTATAGGCCGCTTTCTGACCTGTCCAAACTTCTTCTGGAATTTCTCCTTCAAGTGGCCGTGATGGTGAGAGATTGATCAAGTCAACAGCAGTTCTGACGGCTTCTCCCCAGAATGATTTCAGCAATCCGGCATTGGATAACATGCTTCGTACCTTCTCTTCAATAGTTCGGTTCATCCTCTCAGCTAGTCCATTCAATTGTGGAGTCTTGGGGGCATCTTCTCAAGTCAGATCCCGACCGCTTTGCAATATGCATCAAAAGGGCCGCAATACTCACCACCATTATCAGATCGGACCACCTTCAATTTCTTGCCAGTCTCCCTTTCAACCATAGCATTGAATTATTTAAAGGATTGGAGTACCTGCTCTTTAGACTTCAACAAATATACCCACACTTTGCGAGAATGGTCATCAATAAATGAAACAAAGTATTGAGCTCCTCCAAGGGATCTTTCCGACATAGAGCAAACATCAGTATGGACGAGGTCAAGAATATACCTGTGTCGTCTAGGTTGATCCGGTCTCACAAAAGAAACCCGGTGCTGCTTTCCAGCTAGGCAGTGCGTGCAACTCTCCAACGCTTGGCCTTTCAACCCGGTCAGTAATCCTTTCTTGTTCAGGATTCGAGCCCTTTCTTGCTCATGTGGCCGAGGCGCTTGTGCCATAGCTCCAAGCTAGGTTCTTCTCGTACAGAATTGGCTTCTCTGTCATTGATCTTTCCTTGCATCACGTATAAGGAGCCTTCCTTCTTACCTCGGGCCACGACCAAGTTTCCCTCTGCCAGTTTCCATCTAACACTACCAAAGTAGTTCACTAACCCAACATCATCAAGCTTGCCTATCGAGATTAGGTTCAATCGCATGTCAGGAACATGCCTTACATCGTTCAACACAAGTCGGCATCCGACATCTGTGGTCAGGGTCACATCACCGACACCAACAATCTTGCTGGTCACTTGATTTTCCATCTTCACGACTCCAAAATCACCACCTCAGTAAGAGGAGAAAAAACCTTTGTGTGGAGTAACGTGGAAGGAGGCACCGGAGTCAACAATCCAGGTGCAGTCATCATATGCAACATTCAAATAATTATCCTCACCAAGGAGGAATATCTCGGCATCCGGGTTGGCAGCCACCGCAGTGGTGCTCTTGTCTTCCCTCTTCTTGGGAATAATCTGATCCGGCTTCACAGAGTCGTTCTTCTCATCATTCTGCAAAGTCCAGCTGTCTGGCTTCTTATGACCTGTCTTTCCACAGTAAAAACACTTCAACTCATATCTCGGCTTTGACCGACCTCTGGACTTTCCTCTTCTATCACGATCTTGACCCCGACTTTTGCTTCTACCCCGAGAGTAAGATTTCCCTTTGTTCTCAGCAACGTTGGCCTCAGACGTGCTCGAAATACCTCATTCTTTTCTCCTGGCTTCTTCGCCCAGGAGGCTGTCTGTCACGACATCCATCTTTAATTTTCCATCTGGAGTTGAATTATTCAAGGTCACCACCAGTATCCCAGCTTTCTGGCAGCGAGCTCAACAGCAGCAAGGCCTGCATCTCGTCATCAATTTTCATCTCAGCCTTTGACAACTGATTCACAATACCTTTATAGGTGTTGAGGTGTTCAATCATACTCATGTCGTCCTTGTATTCAAGCTTCACAAGTCGGCGAACCAGGTGGGCTTTGTTCCTGGGAGTCTTCTTCTGAATCATGGACTCCAACTTTGT